TCCTGGTAATTAGACTGGGCTTATAGGATTTGGGGATGAACAAAACGAAGACAAAGTGTCATTTTCATCACATCATATCAAGGTTATGTACTATCAACATGACTTATCATTGTTGACGTTGACCTTGTCACCTGGATGACAGAGTGTCTCTCATATTTCTCCAATGTAAAATTACTCTTCCCCCATTTTCCATACCACATTTTGTGGAAGGAAGTCGCTATGTGCAGCCCACACTTAAGGAGTGGAAAGTTCCGCTCTACCTCCTTGATAGTGGCACATTTATGTAAATTATTTGGGATTCTTCTGCATGGGAGATGTATCTCTTCTTTTCATTTATTTATTTATTCAAAATAATTTATTCACATTAGTATGGGCTTATAGATATTTATGTTATACTTTGGGTTATAATTCAATAATACTTTAATTTAATGCTTAAATTGTTCCAGTTTTGGCCACTGGGAGCTCCCTCAGTTGGCTCCCTGTGACGTATTCTCATCTTTTTTTTTTGAGAACTTCCTATCTTTCTGGCACTGCAAATACTCCAAGCTCATCTTGTATATTTCCTATCTCAGTCCTAAAATCAACCATTTCTCCAAGGAGTTCTGGCTCTTTGTACTGGATAATGGTATTATTCACCATGAACTGGACACTACATGCTTGTAAAAACTAACTCTTGGGGTATCCTTGTTTCTAGGCCATCTCTGCTAACAAAGATAGGAAATATATATGTATTTACTAACCTGTACAAGTATATGTATAGATCCATAACTATTTCTATATGTATCCTCTGCATCTATGTTAAACTAAATATGAGTTCATACTGATGTCTCTAATTCTAATCCATAACCATATGAATTGTTCATGCATGATTAATGACTCATTTTTAATAACATTGTCATATTCGGTATTTTGTGTCAGTACAATGCCACATCATTTACAAAGATGGCCTAATTTAAACCTGAACATAACTTTATGGGTAAATACTATTGCTCACATTTAACAGATGCAGAAACTGAGGCACTGAAAGATGAAGCAGCTTGCCTAAATTCACATAGTAAGTGGTGGGGGCAGCATATGAGCCTATGTCTTTGAGTTTCCACATTCATTCAATGATACAGAACCAATATCTCTACATTCATTTAAGACTGAGAAAACTTCAGTTTTGAGGGATTTAAGATGCAGAAGTAGTTCCCAGCTCTCTTCAAGTATTGTTCTGCCCAAATCTTACCTCGTCAATGCTCCTCCCTACCCCAACCCCCCAGGGTCCTCTTCCCATCTGACATGCGAACTGCAAGACAAGTTGCCAAGTTACAACGCGACTTGACAGCTCAAGAAAAGGGTGAGGGTGCAAGGGCAAGGATCAGCTACTTCTTACCCCGTGACTTTTCAACCTCTGGCTAACCCTTGCTGTGTATTATCTGGGGTTTTGGTGACTTGGTAGTAATTAACTCTGAACAAGCAGCTCTGCTTTCATGGAGTTAAAAAAAGCACAGCATTTTTTTCCTTGTTAATTAAATCAACCACAAGGAAGATAAATGTGCAGCCCATGCTCGTATCTTCTAAAATATCAAAGGCCTTAGTATGTCTTATGTTCAACCTTGGACTTTTTCTCCAGATTCCTGGAAGTAACAGGAACCTGGAAGTAGGAAGCTTCTAAGTATTTCACTTACGTGGTCATTCATTCATTCATTTATGCTTTTTGGGTGATCTAGAAAGAGGCAACCTGGATCAAGCATAAAATGTTTCGGGAATGTTGTCTCAATTAATCTACTAAAATGGAAACATCAGAAGTGAGTAAACAAGAAGAATAAGAATCCTTTAGATCATGCTGAAAACCACTTTTTAAAAAGCCCACAGCCCCCTCTGGTCCCTGCGTTCTGTTTGGTGAATTTTTCTTCACAGTGGCAGTTTTATTTGCCAGAACCACAACAAAGGGGGTCCTTGAGTCTCCCTGGGAGTGTTTCCTCAGACCTGCACGTCTCCTAGACCTCACAAAGGTGTTATTGTTGCTGGGCTCCCAGCACCTGAGGGAGATCAAAGGCACTTTCCCATGCCAGCATGACCACAGTCTCGCCCTCATGACATAACATTAAAGCTGATGATTAATCCCCTTGGCCCATAAGGTCCCTTCCCACTCCCAAGTACAAAGCAGGGTGGGGGTGGGGACTTCATTTCCAGCACAACACGACCATCATAAACTGGCATTTTATGGCCCTCATTCATCGCAACCAACTGCAGCTGCCCATCAAGCTCGTTAAAGCCCAAACAGTTGTTTCATGTGAGCCATTTACATCACTAGGAAAGTTTCATAAGAATCTCCACCATTTTTTAGTGTCTGCTATGTGCTAGGTACAAACCTACCTAATGCATGTTACTCAACAACCCTGTGAGACTGGCATCAATATCCCCAATTTGATGGATGAAAAATCTGAGGCTCAGAGAAGTTAAGCAGCTAACTCAGGTCAGAGGGCCAAAACGTGCATGAGCAGATGTCCAAGCTTGCCTCTGGACAATATAAAAGCCCATGCTCTCACCATTCCTCTATGGGTACATCAGATTCATGCACAATTTAGGGAGGCAAGGAGGTGTATCAGCTTTGGAATCATAGTGAGATTTGAGTTCTCAGCTCTAGAACTTCAAAGCTTTGTGACTTTGGGAAAATTACTGGACTTTCCTAGGTTTTAGGTCCCAAATGTATAAAATAAACAGAGTAGGGAAAGCCAGTCTCATCTCCATTAAGAGACAGTAAGACTGAGAAGGAGTGCGTCACAGAGACACTTGCATCCATTTAGATTTGCTTCTGTTCAGAAATCGGAATTGAGTGGGGTAAAAATGGCTGAAATTCAGATCTCCCAGGAGAAGCCTGATTAGATGTATTCCTGTGAAAGTATGAGATAATTTAAACAGGATTAAATCAGTATTCAGTGAAGACAATCTAACAAGTGTAGACTCACATCAAGGGAAAGAAGGGCTGGCTCCTGGGCTGGTGCCTTCTGGCTTCAAGAGGCCTCAGGCCTCTGCAGATCTCTCCCTTCAGGGACAGCTAAGCCTTATAAAAAGGTTGCTGAGTGGAAGAAATATGCTACAATGTTTTTCTTTGTTTTTTTTGTTTTTGAGACAGAGCTTTCACTCTTGTTACCCAGGCTGGAGTGCAATGACACAATCTCGGCTGACTGCAACCTCCGCCTCCAGGGTTCAAGCGATTCTCCTGCCTCAGCCGCCCAAGTAGCTTGGATTACAGGTGCCTCCCACCATGTCTGGCTAATGTTTTGTATTTGTAGTAGAGATGGGGTTTCACCATGTTGGCAAGGCTGGTCTTGAATTCTTGGCTTCAGGTGATCCACCTGCCTTGGCCTCCCAAAGTGCTGGGATTACAGGCACGAGCCACTGCACCCGGCCAAATACGCTGCAATTTTCAAATGTAGACAAGTTCCATTCAAGGCTGCCTAGACCCCAGACAAACAGTCCAGCAGGAATGTCACCTCAAGAAGATTCTATCACCCTTCACCCTCCCAGGCAGAGTCAGCCACTGTCTTCTCTGCTCAGTAAGGATAACAGCCTAGTGATGAAGAGTGAGCCCTTGTGATGTGCTTACTGACCTAGGGATGACATCCCTAGGTCACCATTCTTACTACTACTTATCGCAGAACTCCAAGTGTGAAGGAGAGGATGACTGGGAGTGAGTTCCTAGTAACAGAATGCCAAATAGCAGAGGGTTTCCCATAAATCGTAGAGATTCAGGCTGGTTAATATTACCTCATTTAATCCTCACAGCACTCTGAGGCAGATGCTGTCACTCTCTACATATTGCAGATGAGGAATCTGGGGCCCAGAGTTTAAGTAACTTGCCCAATGGCCCATAATTAGTAAACTGAGGAAGTGGGATTGGAAACTTGGGCTGGCTCCCCCCGCTATGCAACATGGGATGTCACGGGCAAGAACACCTCACAGAATACACTGGCACATAACGGATGCTTAGTATCATGAGTTCAATTTGTAGCTACATTCGGGGGCCTCGTATTATATTGTAATGTCTGTTATGACTTCATCTCATCAATGGTAGGGCTAATGTCATTCTTATATCCACAGTTTAGCACAAGAGCATAAGTAAATAAATACATGTATTCATATTCACTCAACCAAAATATTTGATGGTGAAAAAGTCTCAGAGATCCCTACAGTTGCAAAACAGTTTCACATCCCACATAATTTCCTCCATAGCTGCTCTGATTCTGCCCTGGGCTGTGTCTGCTCTACTCTCTGCTCATCTCTCTCTCCTCCCCCCACTCTCCCCTCTATTTTACTCATCTGGGAAAATTCCAAAGAGTTGTCGATTTAAGTTTAACAGAGTAATGACTTTTAAATAAAAATATGGTAGAAATGGGTACTTATCGGAATGGAATGCTTTTAGACTCATGCATTTAAAGAAGATATAAATTTTAGGGCAGACACTAAATTTTAACTGCAATCTTGGAGAAAGCCTTTCCACTAATTCATGGAGAAAAATTAACAAAGTGAAAATTGCTTATCAGTGTTCTTTTGAAGTCATGATATGCAGGCTAATTCTATAGATCATCAGGACGCTCCCAGGGAGATAGATTTATATTGACTGAGAGAGAGTTCCATGGCCAAGGAAAACAGACACTCTTTGCGGAGAAGACCCCACTACCCATTAGGGACAGATCAGTCTGGAGGAGCTAGACTTTGCCACCTTGGGATCAGACATCCCCTTTCATGACTGGGCTCTCTGGCCAGCGTGATGTCAAAAAGAGCACTCAATCCTTTTCATGCTTATTAAGAATCTGGCCCCTAGAAAAAGATCCAGCAAATATAAGCAAGGGTGTTGGAGCGGGTAGCTGGGCTTCTGGCTAGACAAAGCACAAGCAGCAGGCAGGGAAGAGAGGAAAGGAGTGCAGAGGTGAAGAAGCCAACACTCAGGGTCTCCTCCCAGGCTGCCTCCTGCTGTGTGGTGGCCTTCCCTTTGTGCTCAGTGGACTTACCCCCATGTGACAAGAAGACGTTCCACAGATGACAGCCAGCCGTGACGTCACTGGCTGCCCTTCACAGACGAGGCCGTGCCCTCTCACATCTGCCCCAATCACTCCTGTGAGAAAGGAAAACAAAACCAAATCCTCTTTAACACATAAAAAAGAGGGAGAGAAAGCTAAAAACAATCATTAACAAATCTTCTTTTTAATAGTCAAACAACATGCAGGAAGAGTCCTGTGTGTCTGGCAGTCTCAAAGGGCATATTTGCCTGCGTGGGAAAACTCAGAAACCTGCTCGGATTTTGCTTTGTTCTGGTCAATGTATAGCACCCAATGTTATAATAATGACAGTAACTGTGATTGTCATAATAAAAGCAGCAGTTATCAGTTATTTTGTGCTCACTAAATGCTAGGCACTATGCTACATATTTGCATACATGGTCTCATTTAACACCATCAAAGATATTATTAATGCTAGGCATCAGAGAAGAAACTGAGGTCTACAGAGTTTAAGTGACTTGCCCAAGGTCACACTGCTAGGAAGGAGCACAGTCAAATGGAATCTGCTTTAACACATCATATCTCAATCCCAAAGAAGCAACAGCAAAGGAATTGTCTGATGACTGAATCTTTCTGGCATCCCTAGGTCACCATTCTTACTACTACTTATCATAGAACTCCAAGTGTGAAGGAGAGGATGACTGAGAATGAGTTCCTAGTAACAGAAGGCCAAATAGCAGAGGGTTTCCCATACATGGTAGAAATTCAGGCTTCTTACCCACAGGGCTCGTACTCCTTGATACTTGCAGAGCAAGCGAAGTTACAAATGTGACAAGAGAGCTAGAGACTGTTTAGGGCCTGGAGTTGTACTCATTTTCTCAAATATCCAACAAGCCCCTTCTAGGCACAAAATGCAATATACTAGGTGTGATGTGGAAGCCACAAACATGCAGACGTGCAGAACTACAACACAAAGCTGGGGGTGGAAAGTGCTCAGGCAGGACACAGACACTGGGTCACAGGAGAGAACAGCTCCTGCTGACCTCATCAGCTCCCACGCAATGCCATGTTTGCTGTCAATCTCTGATCTTCGATGATTTTTCCCACCTCAAGACCTTCACATTTGTTCTTCCCTCTGCCTGGAATGCCATTCCGCCAACGTCTCTGTCAGGCCAACTCCTATTTAGAGGGTTTACCTGATCCTCTAGGACAGATGATTCTCCCTGTTAAATAGTCTCAGGCACCGGACCTCCCTAGCACAAAAGACACTGGTAATTTCAAAACATCATACATCCCATCTGCCTCCCTTCTATAATAAAAGTTGCTAGGAGCTGGCACTGTCTTACTCTCATGCTTAGCCTAGGACCTACCACAGTTGCCAGTTCAATGCAGGAAGTGAGAATATGAATGCTTGGGGATGCAAGGATGAAGAAGACAAGCCCCTGCTTGGGAAAAACGGGAACACTAAAAGGAGCATTTCAATGCAGGGAAATCAGTACTGTATACCACAGGAGGGGCCACAAGGCCAGCTAACCCACCTAGAGGGGCCCAAGGAAGTTCAGTCTATACAAAATTCTGCAGAACTTAGCAAGGTAAATGGCAGGGTAGGAGTGTCTCGTCAGGCCACAAATCCCCAGATATTGAAGGCACTGCCTGCTCAGCAGCAGCCCTTTCTAGAAAGTAACGTGAGAAAAAGGCCAGAGACAGGCCTCTTATGGCTCTCAAGGCTCTTCCACTGCTTTTTCCAAATTCTACCTTCTGGGACACAGCAACTTGTGAATGTCTGCTTTTGTTCAGAGGTCCAGCAGCAGGGGGAAGTAAGACTCTTCCAAACTTTCTGTGTTAGTTATCACAGTAGTTAGATTATCAACAACTAGGCGATAGAGGCCTGAGACTTTCATCTGCAAGAATCATTGGCCCACGTGTTTTCAGATCAAGTCCCCTGCTCCACTCAGTCTTGTGGGGCTGCCCCTGCAGGCAGCACTTCCCAGACTCAAGTCAGCCAAGGTTGGCCCTGCTGGGACATCTGGGGCTGGAGGAAAGGGGACGCAAGAGTCTACCCCATTCTCTTCTGTCCCAGGCAGAACTGCTTCCCCTTCACCATTTGGGCTCTGGTGACAGGGTTGCCATGGCTCCAGCATCTGCTGGTGTCCCTTGCCCTTAGACTGTGGGAACACCACCTCCCTCCTTAGTCCCTCCAGTCTGGGGATGTTGGCAGCTTCCATTTCACTGATCTCTGATTTGCTTCACAGGGAATGTAGCCCTTCTCAGCTCCTCTGTCATCAGTCACCATTTTTGGGTATTAAATTATCTGTTTTTTAAACATTTAGAGTGGTTTATGTCTGGCTGGGTGGATCTTGATACGATTCCCCATTTAGGGCACAAAGTCTTTTGTACAGGAATAACCCTAGATATGAGCTCATTTTAACTGAGCTCTTTTTACATGCTCTTTCTATACATGTTTCATTTTATTCTTACAACAACCTAATGTGATAAGTACTAGTATTATCCTCATTTTACCGATAAGAAAACCGCAGCTTAGAAATGAGCAGTAACTTCACCAGGGTCACACAGCTCACAAGGAACAGGGCTGTGATTCACATTCAGGTAATCTGATTCCAAAGTGCTAGTCCTTTGCCACCAAAACTCAAGGGTTTTTCTCTAGGATAAAAATCCAATAGCCAGGCAGTCAATGTTTACTTATCTATATATCTCAAATGGTGGGATCTTAAATATATTGATTTTGAGATCCACGATAGAAAACAAGTTGGCCACTGCTGGTCCACAGCTTCATAAGTAGGTTTGAGGAATTCCCAAGAAACACCAACATTTACTGGTTGCATACACATAGAGTACAGGCAAAGTTAATGTTACAGGGTCATTCAATCCTTAAAAGGAATTAAAATGAAGGAAAAATAAATGTGTAGGAAATATTTATTTGTTTCTTCTCGGGTTAGGAGATTCATTGTTGCTATATCTAGACTTAGAACTTGAGAGCTAGTGTGCTATTACGAGAAAAGGATGCATTGGGAGACAGAAGGACCTGCTATAAAATGAGGAAAGTAACAACATCAAATGGTTGCTTTGATATTGCAGAAATGCTTTAAAAATTTGATTAACAGTAGCTCTGTCAGCATCACCACTATCACTCTCTCCATCATCTCCATCATCATCATCATCATCATCACCTGAATCCCCTCTGAAGAGGCAATTGGATTCTTTCTTCTTTTCTAGTAAACATATCAGATATCAAAGATGGGCTGGATGCTATGCTAAGCTCTTTGAATGTTCTCTCATTTAATCATTGCAACATCCATAAAAGGTAATATTCTTTCTTCCTCTCAATAGATGCAGAAGCAGAAGAACAGTGTTCAGGTAACCTGTTCAAGGTCACACAGATTTAAGAAGCAGTGCCAGGATTTGACCTTGTTCTGTCTGACTCCAAAGCTTATGTTCTTTCTACACTCCCTCACTTTATGATGTTATAATTGTCTTATATAATGAAAACATACTTGGAAGTGCTAGTTCATCAGGAAACACAGTGAGAGACATGGGCTAAGAGTTAGAAAAAATGAGTTTCAGCCCCAATTCTGCCACAAATGGCCTAAAAGTTTGAACCGGTTCTTTTATCTCCACAATGAGAGAAGTGAACTACAAATGGAGGTCCTTCCTCAGCCATTCTCAGTATATACACAGTTCTTCTCCTAAAATATGAGGTCAGATGTCTTCTTATCAAAAATTGTATATATTGAGCAGGACTAGCCTGATTTTCCTTCAAGAGAGGTTATCTGTGCTCTGCCTAATGTCCACCTCAATTCAGTAGCCCTGCATAGCTGATGTTCACTTCAAGACCACATGAATAGGAGAGCTGACATTTTTCCTTTGGCCACACAGTGCTCTGATGGGTTATTCCAGAGAAAAGAGGTTCAGAGACAAGCAGGAAAAAGCAACAAAAGGTGGGAGAAGCTGTCTTCTTTCTGGAGAAACATATTTTGCAATCCATAGAGGAATCACAGACTGCACATGTACATCAGGAAACAATTCACAAGATGTGATTTTGACACAAGTGCAGCTCTCGGTACAACTGGGGCCCTTCATATGACAATATCAGTGTCAGTTTATTCTGCAATCCTCAAAATGTTTAAGGGGCAAAATTAGCAGCTCAAGAAACGGGCATAAAAAAATAGTGACATTATTAACTGTGTTTTCCCTGAAACTTGCACAATGCTCAGCCGATGGTGGTGGCTCAATTAATATTTGTTGAACTAAAAAACAAATAGCAGAAAATCAGGCTTACTGACTCAATTAATTAAATGTCTCCCACCCCTCAACGTAACACAGATAGTTCTTATCAAGCAATGTTTAAAAAGAATGTTAAAAAAAGGAACATTTAAAACTTCATGAACAGCTCTCTTATTCACTTTAATATGCTGTCTCCTCCTTTCCTCTCTCCCATTCATTCAACCAACAATATGTCCACCCAAGCATTGAGTAGCTACTAAAATGATGTAAAATAAAAAAGACTCTGCAAATGTTATGATTAAGAGTACATTTTCCTATAATTTATCAAGCTATGACAGTTCTGAAAGCTTACAGGGTTATATAGAAGAAAAACATCCTGAGTTCTTGCAGTTGTGTTATAATTATCTCCTACTTTTATAGCCATATAAAGTACTTTATAGCTTGTAAAGTATCCTCAAACACTGTAACCTTCAATTAGTCTTTAGAAAATCCTGTGATATGTGTATTTTATTTCCAGTTTACAGTTGAAGAAACTGAATTTCAGAAAGGTGAAGTAATTTAGTTGAGTTTATTTAGTGACTTAGAGGCAGAAGTTGGGCTCAGACTAGGATTTTCAGTCTCTGAGTCTGATGTATTGGCATTTAAGATTCTCTTAAAATAACAACCTTAGGCACCTTCTCTGAAGTCTCAAAAAGGATAAGAAGGGTTTTGAACATTACTTAAGACTCTATCAATTTGAGACTCTTGATTCAGCCATTTGGATGAATGAACTGACTGATAAATCACATCCAATGAGTTTCTTGCCAAAGCTGGCTGGGAGGTTCCTGGAGTTCCTGGAGAGGAAAGTCTCCAGAGAAGGCTCTCAAGAGACCAC